GCACACCTCCCGTGTCTAATGATTTTGTAAATAAATTTATGAGGGGTCCGCTAATCTGTTCCCTGCACTCTTTCAAGACTCGAGGGAAAATTTCATCCGGCCCTGGGGATTTTGTCTTCTTTAATGTATTTATCCTCTTAAGAACATCCTCTTTTCTGATAGTGATATTCTTTAATGTCTCTTCTTCCTTTCCCCTAAATATCAGTTCCACCTCTGGAATTTCCTTGCGAATTTCTTCTGTGAAAACTGATAAAAAGTAGCTGTTCAATGCTTTGCTTATTTCCCACTGCCATGGATCACTTCCCCCCTCCCTGACTTTAAAGGCCCAACTTTGTCCTTGACCTTTGTTCTATATACCTGGAAAAATCCCTTGGGATTCGCGTTGGATTCTCTTGCTATTCTGATTTCATAGTCTCTCTTTGCTTTCCTTACATTTTTCTTAACATTCCTAGATAGTTCATTATACCTATACGACATCGTTCGATACTGTATCATACCGTAACTAAGTGAATCTGTCAGGTGTGGTTAGGTTAAGTTATATTAATTTAGATTAGTAATAGAGCTATGTGTTTGTGGTTTGTATTGAGTTTATGTAAATGGTAGCCTCTATATCAATGTGATTTAGAATTTTCGAGATTTTTTTTTGGTATCATCTACACATACTATACACCACAATCGAATTTATATTAGAATGTGTGTGTGTGTGTGTGTGTGTGAGAGTAAGTGAGAATTTGTGATTATATGTGTGTGTGTGTGTGTGAGAGAGTAAGTGAGAATTTGTGTGATTATATATCTGTGTGTGTGTGTGTGTGTGAGTAAGTGAGAATTTGTGATTATATGTGTGTGTGTGTGTGTGTGTGTGAGTAAGTGAGAATTTGTGATTATATGTGTGTGTGTGTGTGTGTGTGTGAGTAAGTGAGAATTTGTGATTATATGTGTGTGTGTGTGTGTAAGAGAGAGAATAGGAGTAAGTGAGAGTTTGTGATTATATGTGTGTATGAGAAGGGACCAGAAGCACAAAAGAGAGACAAAGAGACAGAGCGATAATAAAAGAGACACATGTAATGAAGGGCGCTGGTCTCAACACAGGAGTTAACCTGAAATATTTGACAGTGAGGAGAGTACACTAGTGGCCGGAGACTCCACGTCACGCACACGCTCTAAATCATCTCATTTCACGTCATAAACACAATACAAGAACAGGTACAAATATTTCGAAATAGTTACAGGAAACTTTTAACTATGAAACACAGGATGAGGAACCCGTACACCTCAATTATATATATATATATATATATATATATATATATATATATATATATATATATATATATATATATATATATATATATATATATATATATATATATATATATATATATATATATATATAATCTGATAACCACAAGGAAAGAAAGAACACGAAGTTCCCAATTACACGAAAGCGGGAACTTCGTGTTTTCTTTTTGTCAGATATCTAATCAGCACCTACAGTGATTTACTTGCATATATATATATATATATATATATATATATATATATATATATATATATATATATATATATATATATATATATATATATATATATATATATATTTTTTCACTCCTGAAGATGAATTACATGAAAGTGCTTAGGAACTTGTGTTTTCTTGTTTCCTTGGTTATCATATATATATATATATATATATATATATATATATATATATATATATATATATATATATATATATATATTTCATTAGCCCAATGAAGCACGCGGACTTCTATATATATATATATATATAATGTTATGCATGGCGTAATGTACAGTGGTGCGTTGCACTGTGCATAGTGATATTTTTTAGGCATGTTACCCCAAGTTATGTAAATATAATTTCGTGTAATGATGTGTGAGCAGGGCTGGTATTTGATACATAAAATATTTTTCTGTATGTATGAAGGTATTTTTACAGCTTAATGAGGGAGTTCATAAATTTTAGTTTTAGGTTGGTAGTTCCCTGGAGTATGGAGCAATGTCAGTCACTGGCTGGGCTTGGGAGTAGGATGATGTCTTAGTTTGTCAGTGGGGATACCTCTTCAAATAGAGTTTAGTTGAGTATTATATATTCAGTGCTGCTCTATTATTATTTATTTTGTGTAAAGTGCAATCAATGGTTATTACAAAGTAGTTCATGGTTATTTACTGTGCATATATTAGTGGTTCATTAAGGGTTATGTTTATTCTTTATTCTCTTGAATTAATGTATCTTATGGAACCTGCAAACGTATTATGGTAAATTTTTGTTATTAAATTTTATTTAAATCTTTTGTAATGTGTATAATTCCAAACCTTCACTCCTGAACTGTTGGGATAAAGAGAGGGCTGTGATTGAACCTTGGACTAAGTTGTGCCGAGTTGGCAATTTGATTTTTGTTTTTGTTTTTGTTTTGCCATATTTGCCCTCATTAGTATATTAATCTTTAACGTAATTCATGTTAAGTTATGGCATAACAATATATATATATATATATATATATATATATATATATATATAATATATATATATATATATATATATATATATATATATATATATATATATATATATATATATATAAAAAATATATATATATATATATATATATATATATATATATATATATATATATATATATATATATATATATATATATATATATATATATATATATATATATATATATATATATATATATATATATATATATATATATATATATATATATATATATATATATATATATATATATATATATATATATATATATATATATATATATATATATATATATATATATACCAGCGGAATCGCCGCCCTCTGGGCGGCTCTTTCGTTACGCCACGGTAGGACGCCACCTTCCGGGAGGCTCCACATTGTCTCACTGTAGTGCATTAAGGTGTTTGCTTTGATCCTGACTTTGTACTCGTCAGAAGGCATATTTTCCAGGGCATTTTTAAATGACTGTACATACGTGTTGCGCTCATGCAGAATTTCTTGGATATATAGGTCAATGTCATGTCTGACACCTTGAATGTTGCCACACCTGATAGTAGTCTGCTTTTCATGATCTCCCATGAAGTAGATTTGGAGGAACTTTGGCTGCTCATCTTCCAGTGGTAAGAAGGATCCTGCTTTGTGATAGACTTGACCCTGAACTTTGAATGTTGGTATGTATCCGTGCTCACGAACTACTCTGGTAGCTTCAAAGTACTGTATGTCATCTGGAAGCATGAATTGTACTTCAGTATATTTTCCAAGAAGTGTTTTGACTCTGGTGTTGTTCCCAGCATGAGAGTTTTCAATGGTTGTGGTGTTTTTTTTCAAATTTGGCAGTCGTACTTTCCCATGAGAGCAGCACAGTTCAGCAGATTCTCCTTTGTACTTCTTTGCACTGCAGTATTCACATTTCTTTCCATGTTGCCAATGACAACAGAGGGATACTTTTCATATTCTATATATAACATCATCCATTATCACTACATAAAACACCATCCATCATCACTACAGATCGGTAAAGTAGTTTCCAAGATTCTCGTGTGGACATACATACAAACAGACAGACTTCTATGTTTTATATATATATATATATATACATATATATATATATATATATATATATATATATATATATATATATATATATATATATATATATATATATATATATATATATATATAGCAGAAACGCCGTCCTCCGGACGGCTCTTTCGCTAGGCCACGGTGTGAAATATCGTATGTTTGACATACCTCGTTAGAATGGACTACCTACCTACCTTGTTAGAATGGACAACCTAGAAAAGTTAGAGATCAAAGAAAAGTAAGCTGTAATGAGAAAGAGCATAAGGATCAAATTAGCTATAATACGTGGGATGGGATACGACTTTTCAACCTCTGTGTGGTGTAATGGATGGAGGTTAAATGCAGAGAAAAGTAAGCCATAATGAAAGAGAACCTAAGGATGAAAACAGCTGTAAATCATAGGAGGGAATACGACTTTTTTACGTGTGTGCGTCGGGGCTGTGTCTGATGGGATTGGTTGGAGTTTTTTCGAGATCACTACATATAACATCATCCATCATCACTACATATAACACCATCCATCATCACTACATATAACACCATCCATCATCACTACATATAATACCACCCATCATCACTACATATAACATCATCCATCATCACTACATATAACACCATCCATCATCACTACATATAACATCACCCATCATCACTACATATAACGACATCCATCATCACTACTTATAACATCATCCATCATCATTACATATAACACCATCCATCATCATCACTACATATAACACCATCCATCATCACTACATATAACGATATCAATCATCACTACTTATAACATCATCCATCATCATTACATATAACACCATCCATCTACAGATCCGTAAAGGACTTTCCGAGATTCTCGTGCGGACACACATACACACAAACACACAAACAAACAAAATTATTCAGGATCACTTAATCTGTGTCAATATATATCATAATATTGTCGATATATTAAATAGACGTTGTTGCTTAGGAGTTACTGGAACTTTTTTTCCGATTATGCATTTTGCATTTTAAAATTTGTCAAAGATTTCATGATTTTATAGGATTGAATTTTCATAAGACTAAAAATAAATATTCTTCCCTTACTTATAATTTTTCTTAAGTTGACTGCTGGCGTTTACATTCATGGCAACAGTATAATAATGGAGTGGTAATGTAAATAAGTATATAGATTTAATGATCATATGAAATTTATTAATTAGGTAAACAAAATAAAAAACTAAATGCGGACGTAAATTATGGACTACGTATTATCCTTAAGTTATTCTTATCTTATCATGACGCACAGTGGCCTCCCTCTCTCTTTGGGCATGAAGTACGAATTCCTCTCTCTCTCTTTCTCTCTCTCTCTCATCTAATGACGCGCGACCTCACGCCAGTGTTCTTCCACCTACAGGTTGAGCCCCGGGGAGCTACAGTGTGTGGACCGCCTACAGGTGGTTGTGGGCATCGTTATCGTGTGTGTCTCCTCCGTGTTGCTTCTCACCCTCTCGCTCATCCTCTGCAGGCATGTTACAAGTGTTTATTACGTGTTGTAGATGTGAGACATATGTTTTTATTTACTGTATGTAGCATGTGTTACAGGTGTGTAGTGTATATTGTAGCATGTGTTATACAGTAAGTGTATAGCGACCTGTGGTATAATGGTCAGCATGCTCGCCCCTCAAGCAAGCGAATTCGGGTTCGATCCCCGGGCAAGGTGAAATTATGTGCAAGTTTCTTTACTCTATTTGCCTCTGTCTAACCAGCAGTAATTGGGAACCTGGATGTTAATCAATTTGCCGATCGTAGTCCGGGGTAATGGTTAGCCAGCGGCGTCACACTAGCATTTCTATTGTCAACTCTTCTATTAATCGTCGATTTTTTCACGAATCGTCGATGTTGTTGTTGACTTTTTGTCAAGCGTTGCAAACCGTCTGCACGACAACTTACCAGAGTCAACTAAAGATCTATAATTGATACTACAAATACCTCTCCCATTGCTCCCCGGGCTGACTACATGCGCCTTGCCTTCCCCGAGAACGCAACCAATTGATGAAGATTAATTGGTTGACTGCCCTGAATGAGGATTATGGCACGACTAAGCTGAATGTTGTCGTGCCAGGTAACACCCCTCGTTTTGTCTATGTAGGCCGAGAGGAGACGGATGCTATCCAACGCTTCATTGATGGAAAGGTCGGCTCACTACAGCTCATTAAGCGAGATGAACCTGTTCTACCCCAAAAAATGAAGGAATACCTTGTCACCCAATTCCCCAAGGGTATTCCCCCCAAGTAGAGCTCTGTCACTTCAGGCCATCCACAGAGCATGAAGACTTTATAAGGATGGTGCACAACTTAGTAGGATTATCATTGTTTGGAAAAGGAAGGAACCACCTCCTGAGGAGTACCACTTCTTTGGCAGCATGTACGGTACCCCTAGTAACATCAGTCGGTGGACTCCTCCCCCTGTGGTGTGCTACAACTGCTTCGGGGTCAATCATGTGGCGAAATACTGTCACAAGTCAGCCACCTGCGGCTTCTGCCAAGGAATGCATAGCACAAGGAGCTGCCCCACCAAGGAAGGTGCCTCTCAGGAGGGGAGAGAGCACTACTCCCCACCTAAGTGGCAGTGTGCCAGATGCAGGAAGAAGGGTGTGACGGCCTGGCATCCAGGTTGCCCTGGTAGCCCGCCTCCACCCACAATAGCGGTCACACTCAGTGACGCCAACGCCAACACTACCGGGTCGCCTCCAACGCCTGAAATCAACAGCTACACCTTCCCACCCAGGAGGCAGTGTTCCACGTGCAGGGAGGAGGGTGTGACGGCCTGGCACCCAGGTTGTCCTGGGAGACCGCCTCCACCCTCAAAAGCGGTCCCACTCAGTGATGCCAACAGCAACACTGCGGGATCGCCTCCAGCGCCTGAAATCAACAGCAACACTTCCCCACCCAGGGGGTAGTGTCCCAGGTCCAGGGAGGACGGTGTGATTGCCTTGCACCCCAGTTGTCCTGGAAGGCCGCCTCCATCCACAATAGCAGTCCCACTCAGTGATGCCAATTCGGCCGGATCGCCTCCACCACCTGAAGTCAACAGGCACAGTGACTCTCCTTCGTTAGCCAATGCAGATCAGGTTAAAGCCTGCCAAGTAAGTGTACCAGTGAACAATGACAGTGATAGTGTTAGTAGAGCTTCTGAAGGAGCTGGTGCCTCCTCTCATAATGATGCCAACTTGAGGGTGAGTAGCCAGAGCGAGACCGATAGTGATGGAAGCATGAATGGGGAGAATGAGCCCCAGACTGCCAGCGTGGTCTCTATAATAGCCCCAGGTCTGAAGACTGTCCATGACTCTGTACATTTTCCATTGTTTACGGGGGATGAACTCGCGGGACTGATGAAGGATCCCGCGTATAGAAATCCTACTGGAATAAGGGCTGTGAAGAACATTATCAGGAAATCCAGAGGTACAGAATTTGAAATGGTCAGCTTATTGGTCAGGTTGATCTATGAAGCCAGCGTGCGACTCTCTACGCTAAATTCAAGGTGGAAAAAGTAACACGAACGCTTAGGTTCGTTTCATGAAACATCCGTAGTGTTAACCGCAGAATTAATGACCTACAATGGTTTGTTAAAGTTTTTAACATTGATGTAATTGGTTTACAAGAACCTTACACGTCCAGCACCCAGAAGAATGTTGCACCCAGGAGCAGGAAGTGGCCTGCTCACTTATGTAAAGAATGGTCTGGCCTGTAAATGGATTAAAACTCACAATGATGAAAGTATTCACTATCAACAATTTTCAGTAAAGACAGCAAACAGTCAACTTTCGCTGTATAACATCTATGTTCGGTGTAATGAACTGCGAGATGACGTGTTACCAAAGCCATCAGGTAGCAATGCTATGCTGTGTATGGGTGACTTTAACTCTCGTCACACTGTCCTCGGTGATGTCCAGTGTAACTCTAATGGCAGGGTGTTCGTGAATTACATCAATAATCATAATATCACTGTATACGACACAAACAAAGTGACACATCTGATGGGGGGCAGACTTGATTATGTGATTGGGTATAACCTAGTAGACAGTAATGTCAAGGCTAAGGTCATCTCAGACCACCTAGTCAGTGATCATTATGCAATACTTACTGAATACACTGTTGCTGATGTCAAGTGTGAACCCCATCCCAAGCTCAGAATTAACATCCCAGATAATCTTAAATTGCACTTCAAGGCCTACGTCCAAGGATGGTATGCTGGATATACACCTGGGTCAGTGGATGAATTTTGCTGTGATCTTGTAAATGTCATTACCACATACTATACCACCTGGGTTAAGTCAAGGAGGAAGGGGGGCAGCACTAAACCACCTCTGTGGACACATGACCCCATCCTCAGCAAAGAAGGAGAGAATGTAGAACAGCTTGCCAACACTTATTAGCAAAATAAAACTGGTGATAACCTCTTGGCATTCCTCAAAGCTAACAGAGAATTTCGTGAACTCAAAGGTCAGGTGAGAAACACCTATTGGGAACAATTCTTACAGGGGAATAATAGAACAACCACTCTAGCAGAAGTGTGGAACAAAATTAGAGCCATTACCAAGTCACCCACCCCAGTCCAGCTTCATCACAGCCCTGCTGAATATGCTGACATGCTATTAGACCAATGGTCTAGTGTGTCACAAATCACTTCCCTGCCTCCTGACATACAGCAATATCTTAACACCACACACATTAATAGGGGTTTCAATTTGAAATAGCCTGTTCTTCACCAGACCTTACCAACCAATTTCCTATAACGCACCACGAACTAACAACAGCACTAATGAAAGGTGAGTCATCCTCCCCTGGTGAGGATGGCATAACCTATAACACCCTGAGATTGTTGAATGAGATCCCTAACCATCCACTGCTTGACCTGTATCAAATAAGCCTCACACAGGGTATTCTGCCTAAGACATGGACTCATGGAAACATAGTTCCAATCCCTAAAGCTAATTCTCCAAACTTCAGGCCATTTTCACTCACATCCTGTATGTGTAAAGTCCTTGAAAGAGTTGTTCTAAACCGTCTCATGTTTCAAGTCAAAGACAAACTCGCCCCTAATCTGTACGGGTTCATGCCCGGGCGTAGCACACAGACATGCTTTGCAGAATATCTTGTTCACTCAAAAGATAAGACGCAAACAGCCTTCATAGACCTTAAATCAGCCTTTGATGTAGCTAATAGAGACATTATACTTGAGCAACTAGCTAATTTTGGCATCCAAGGTAGCCTCCTGACATGGATAAAGGGTTATCTGTCCAACAGGTATACCAGTGTTCTGTTTAGGGGAGTTAAAAGTACCAGAATGAGATCATTTGAGCTTGGTACACCTCAGGGAGGAGTGTTAAGTCCTATGCTCTTTAATATACTGATGCACAATCTTATTGCTGACATTCCAGTTCAGCCAAACGAAGCCGTAATATGCTATGCTGATGATATCTGCATTATCACACAAACCAAACTCAGGCTCCAAGCCTTGCTGGATGTATATGCTCGGAGAACTGTTGAATGTGGTCTCATAATATCTGTTGACATGACGAGGGTCCTCAATCCTCGTCCTGCTCACCCTCTGCCTCCTGACTTTAACATTAACAGCATGCCCTTGGAACTATGTAGCTCCTATAAATATCTTGGAATTTGTGTGAATGATGCAAACTTTGTCGGCAACCTTCGTGCCAAACTAATGCAGTGCATTAAACCCCTCAGAGCCCTTGTTGGCAAGGGCTATGGAATTAACATCACCTATGCTCATACTTTCTATCTTCACTTCATTCGTTCTGTAGTTGACTATCATGCTCTCCATCTTGTGACTATTCTGCCTAAGCAACTCAGCAGCCTTGAGGTAGTGCAAAATGAAGCCATATGCATCATTCTAGGTTGCCCAAAATCAACCAGAATTATAAACATGAGGAAAGAGCTCGGACTACCCTCCAGATCTGAGAGGATAGCTCTACTTAATACCATGTTTTGTGTCAAAGTTTCGAAGAACAGTGGTTCCCAAACTACAGCTCAAACTGAGTTGATGTTCTATCTATGTAATCCCGACTATCTCGCCAACCTTCTGAAGGTTACTAGTGTGCCCTGAAGAATGCAGTGATGGCTAGGGTAACACTGAGTAACACCGAGTTCGTTTATTGTGGATGATAGAGATACAAGTGGTGACGCTGTGTGCCATGCACAGCTCACGCAGTCAGACTGAGGCGCCTTGCCATATGGCAGCCTCGGGGCAATGTTGCCACATAACACGTGCAGTGTTGCCACGTGATAATATATATAAATGCTACTCGGCACAGTAGCTTATATACAAGGTTGCTACTCGGCACAGTAGCTTATATACATAACCTACATCTCCCTCCCCCCTCACGCTCATAGTCTTTGTCTTGAGCGGACTTCTTAGTCCTAAGTCGCTCCGAGCGTCGAGGTGCACTGTGGGGCGGATCCTCGTGAGGTGCACTGTGGGGCGGATCCTCGTGAGGTGTAGGTGACTCGTCTTCGGTCAGGGGGCCAGCAGCAGG